GCCTTGCTTTGTATTTGGGATTCCCAGGACCAAGTTGTTTGTATTTTCCAGTAGCCTCAAGTGTTTTATTGTCTAGGGAGTGTGGCCTAAGTGATCAGAGCAATGGTCTGAGAGTCAGGGCCCCCAGCTTCTTATATCAGTTCTGCATATGAGTGAGTCATAGAATCATAGAATATCAGGGTTGGAAGGGACCTCAGGAGGTCATCTAGTCCAACCCCCCGCTCAAAGCAGGACCAATTCCCAACTAAATCATCCCAGCCAGGGCTTTGTCAAGCCTGACCTTAAAAACCTCTAAGGTAGGTGATTCCACCACCTCCCTAGGTAACCCATTCCAATGCTTCACCACCCTCCTAGTGAAGAAGTTTTTCCTAATATCCAACCTAAACCTCCCCAACTGCAACTTGAGACCATTACTCCTTGTTCTGTCATCAGGTATCACTGAGAACAGTCTAGATCCATCCTCTTTGGAACCCCCTTTCAGGTAGTTGAAAGCAGCTATCAAATCCCCCCTCATTCTTCTGCAGACTAAACAATCCCAGTTCCCTCAGCCTCTCCTCATAAGTCATGTGCTCCAGTCTCATTTTTGTTGCCCTCCGCTGGACTCTTTCCAATTTTTCCACATACTTCTTGTAGTGTGGGGCCCAAAACTGGACACAGTACTCCAGATGAGGCCTCACCAATGTCGAATAGAGGGGAATGATCACGTCCCTCGATCTGCTGGCAATGCTCCTACTTATACAGCCCCAAAATGCCGTTAGCCTTCTTGGCAACAAGGGCACACTGTTGACTCATATCCAGCTTCTCGTCCACTGTAACCCCAAGGACCTTTTCTGCAGAACTGCTACCTAGCCATTCGGTCTGTACGCTGTAGCAGTGCATAGAATTCTTCCGTCCTAAGTGCAGGACTCTGCACTTGTCCTTGTTGAACCTCATCAGGTTTCCTTTGGCCCAATCCTCTAATTTGTCTAGGTCCCTCTGTATCCTATCCCTACCCTCCAGCGTATCTACCACTCCTCCCAGTTTAGTGTCATCTGCAAACTTGCTGAGAGTGCAGTCCACGCCATCCTCCAGCTCATTAATGAAGATATTGAACAAAACCAGCCCCAGGACCGACCCTTGGGGCACTCTGCTTGAAACTGGCTGCCAACTAGACATGGAGCCATTGATCACTAATCAACCTCTAGGCTGATTTTCCCCCATCTGGAAAAGGTGTATATAATACTACCCATTTCACTGGTGTTGGGAGAACTTATTGAAGTTTGTAAAGCACTGAGACAGACAAAAGTTCCCAGGATATTTTCTGCATTTACAACTCAAGTTTTCTTGTTTTGGTATTTTAATTTCTGTAAACCCAAGTCCACTCACCAGTCCCCTGTATGGCCGACTAGCCATAGCTGTGAAGTTATAGTTAAAAGGTTTCTTTCAGAAGGACAGAGGATTACCATTTATTTAACTGGCCATTTATCCATGGCAGCAGGCTGTGTAGAAAGTTTCAAGAACTTGGAGTGGCATTAGTTTCCTTATGCAAAGCTGCACGTGCCGTACAGGTCAAGGACCAACAGACAGGAGAGTATATGGCAAGAAAAAGTTATCACATTTGCTCTGATCTTTCAACACTTTTACTGTTCTGGTTGTCCTCATCAATTGTCTATCCTGGTGAATAGCAGTTTTAAACAGCTGTGCAACTGCATTAAATTAGTTGTATGGTTCCAGAGCCTGAGGACATAGCCTATGCGGCAATTAGTGTCAGGATTCTGCTCTGGCTTCTAATCATCAGACTCCAGCAATCAGAGACATCTTTCATGTTGATCACTTACCTTTTGCATGCTGTGCTATTTGCAGCTTCAGTTATAGAACATGCAGACTTATACCTGACTCCAAGAGAGAGGAATTCTACTTTTCAGTGCCTAAAGTTAGGGAGTACCATTTATCTTTTACCAGGTGAGAGATCATGCAAAGAGGCTCTCCCTGGTGCCAGCGGGGTATACTGTGCTCTCGGGAGGATTGGGGATGAGCAGGTGATGGGTTGGAGAAGGCAGCTTTGACTAGCAGCTGGGGTTCTGTAGGAGTCCTGCTGGCAGAGGCTGTGCAGTGGATGCAATTGAATCAGCACATGTCCCCAACTAGTGCTGCCCATTTCTGAGGCTAGATGGGCTGCAGGATCCTTGGTGTTGGTGGGTGCCTTCCATAGGCCCAGTCTCCACAGAGACTTCAGTGGTGTGAAATTTACCAAATCTTCTGCCAATGCAAATCTTGGAGTGAATCAAACCCAGCATCTGTTCCTGCCAAGTCACCAGTTTTGACACTGCGGTCGAATAGAAGATCTGTCCAACTGCTATTTTTTGACAGAGCCTTAAGTTGTCACTTTACTTTTGGACCAGAAAAGGAAAAGAATGTTTTCCAGATGGCCAGTCTACTCTAGGAGTGAGAAGAAAACAGTGAGAAAGCTGATGGTAACATCATTCGCTTGGGCTTCCAACTGGAGAAAAGAATGTGGAGTAATGGACAAGATCTCAAGCAATAACAACTCACTCAAGCCTCTTCATCATCTTAACAAGGGGAAATAGCGGTAAGACTGAACAATTCAGTAGTGGGTCTATAAATTGTTGGGATAGAGGCCATGTGGGTACTGCAGCCTTATTTTTATTGACTAAATCTGCTAGCATCTTGTAATAGATCTTTGAGCCACAAGATCTTGAGCTGTAATGAAGCGTCTAATACTTGTATCTCTCTCCTGTGGTCTACTTTTTAGGTCACACCCATAAAGAGTAATATTTTCCTTTTATAGAGGGCATTTAGTCCCAAAGGATATGGAGGTGTTTTATCAGTTGTACATATAAGCACCACATCACTGAAATTCAGCCATCTTGTGTGGCTTATCTGATTCCCGAGCATAGTGCTAAGACACTGGTTTGACACAGATGAAAGAACACAGATAACATCAACTTTACTTTCTACAGCATCTTCATTTTCCCTTGAGCATTTCACATCCAAGCACGGACCAAAGAAATATTGAGATGTTATGGCCCACTTGTCAGTATGACAAAAATGTTGTAGAATATGTATTTTTTTTAAATCCCAGTATATCTATTGTATGCTGTATATTCATGACTTATTAGCTTTCAGGTAGAGTACCTGGACCTGAGATAAAATTACAAAAGTTTGTACTGTTTTGCCTTGAGGTTTGCCTAGAGTTCTTTCCCTCCCCACCCCCACTAATATAGAAATTTAGTACATCAGTTGCAGAATCAGGAAGAAATAGATAATTGAATGTGCACACAAGCAGAAACAACATAGGCAGAATGTGGAACAAATGCAAAAAAAGACGGCATCTGTTTACTGAAAATTAGAACGTAGAATAAATTAAGAGGGCAAGGTTAAAATACTTCCTCTGCAGTCAAGAGTTTGCAGGGAAGGAGGACTTGGCAGGCAGTTTAAGAATGTAGATTATGTAAAGGGATAATATTTTGTTTCTGGGGAAATTACTTAGATTTTTTTCAAAATAATTTTTGAAAGAAAAGGAGAGAATGTCAGTATTCAATGGTATTTTCAGTAGAGATTATCTTCTTATAATGCAAGAACTCAAAAAATTAATATATGACGAAATCAAGATACCTTCTGCAGGAGCGCTGCTTGTCTAAGGCATTATTTAGCAACATCACACTGCTTATACGAAATGGAAGTTGCATCATCTCAATTTTTCTTCATGTCCACACTTCTATAATTCCATAGTGAATTTAAGTTGCTTGTATTTTTTTAATGTATTGAATGTTTGCCCTTCAGCCAATTTCTGACCATTTTTTGATAAAATAAATATGTACCTTTAAGACATATGTGTATAAATAATATCAACTGTGAAATATAAGCCTACAGTATGGATGTCTAATTTACAGAACTAGCTGTGCCAGGTTTTGATGCTGCTCGCAGAATTCATCACATGGGCTAAGATGATAATTTTATATTAACCTTTTTACCAAAACAGACATGAGGGAAATCAATTTACAACTGATAAATATGGGGTATTCAGTTGGTACTAGGATAACTTACTTATACAGTGATGTCCTGTTCAAATGTAAGAGGCAAGCTCTTCCAGGAACTACACTATAGGGCTTAACAAGTTGGTCTAGAAAACTTAGTGAATTTTGGTCCCAATCCTGTAACCCCTTTGATGTGGGCAAATTCCTGTACCTGTAACAAGACGATATAGATCAAGATACAGAATGAGGGTCTTTTAGTTAATAGTTGCTTTTCATTTGTGTAGTGGCAGACCACCACCTTCAAAAGGTTTTGTTTTATACATAGCTCAAAGAAGTTTTTTGAGACAAAACTCACTTCCTAACCATTCATACTTCTGTGTATTCTACAACAATCTAACTCTGCTATGACATACTGACACCACAATGGGTTTTTATCTTCAGTATATTTTTGTAACCATTTCTAACAGAAGGGCTGATTAGATCACATTTTAAATACAGTAGCAGCTAAAAATAATTAAGATAAATTATGACGAAATGTAGTTCCTAAAAAAACCTCCAACATATCTAATTTTCAGAAGCTACAGAAGAGGGGAAAAAGACGACTGCAGTAATGCCTATTATCCAGTTCTTGAGGGAAATATGGCAATTCCATTTAAATGGACAGTTATGGAAGTTTTCATAAATGACAATGTAAGTGGTGTATGTTACTGGAAGCTCATGTTCTGTATAATTACACCAAATACTGTACAGATCTTTATTCTTTGCATGTGTGCACTGCCTTATTCCATCATAAAAGGGAAAATTTGCTATCTTATGAGCTATTTCATCTTAGGAAATGCCCCCTCACTTCATTTTTTGTCAGTGAAAATGGAAGCGAGGCATAATTTAATATATCTTGTTCTTGCTTTCCACTAACAATACAAAAATGTGAAAATTTTACAAAATAGATGGACATTTCCATGGGAATAATGGAAGTTAGTGTGAATTTTTAACAATGCTTTTTTCCTTTTCTTATTCTTTTAGATAATCATTTTAGGGTTCCAAAAAAAAGGAATCTGCAGTTTGGCATGGCATATTGGACAGTTGTTCTATACCAAAGTGTGATGGATCAGAGGAGATCAGTATCCTGAATTCAGTAATAGAGGAAATATATTAAAAAGGTATTTTATTTTTATCCAGTTATCAGTGCTGTGTGTCTCAGTGAGGAAAGCCTGCCTCATATATACACACACAGTAACAGTACTGAAGCAGCTATCAGAGTAGAAGATGTATAAATGAGGCTTTTGTTACACTGACAGCAGCACTCCTGCTGATTTTTTTTTTTATGAGGGTGGGGGGAGGGAAATGACATTTAATGAGCCACTGTAGTAGTTTTGAAAACTTTAAGAGAAATTTAATATTTGATCAAAATACCATTGAATACTGCAATGATGTGATTACAATCATTGCTGTGGGGATGCTGGTGAATAATGTCATAAATGTCTTAGAAAGACACCAGCTCACATATTCATAAAATGAGCTGGACAAAGCGTACACATATAAGTGTTGCTGAATTCCATTAGCAATCCTAGCTACAGTCTTATTCTCTGGGTTTTCTTCTTGATTATGGAAATAAGTCACAAATGTTATAAAACACCTAAGCGCAATATTGCTTTAACAATGTTCTACAAAACATGGAGACCATTTCTGCTATTATGTTTTTTGGAGCGGCACTGCTCTATTACTATACAAATGAGGATCCCCCAAGGGAAACATGCAAAGGGCCAAATCACAAGGATGGAGCAAAGATGGCATAAAAGGACTTAGTACTCCATTTTAAAATATTGCAGGGCTGAACAGAATCTACAATCCCTTGCAGGCAGGATGCCTGACGAGCTGGGTAAAACTCCTGCTACCATAAATGGGGAGGAGATACAAATGTGGCCCATTGCTCCCCTTGCATGGGGTTTTGGCTCAGCTGATCCACAAATGCACAAATCAGTTGGGCAGTTCCAGTCCCGCCCAAAATCCCTCTTGCTCTGCAGCTAGCCGCAGAGACTCTCTTGAGATCTTCTCCAGGGAACAGGAAAGGATCTCTACCTTGTTTGCGGTCTCCTCTGCAAATGGCCCCACGTACAACTGATCTGCAGGTGCACAGTGCCTCCCACGATGTGTCTGCAGTAGCTTATAAATGAATGGTTTGTTTAAAAGGAAGTATTTCTGCTTTTAAAGTGTTCAGATGTGTTGTTAAAGGAAGTATAAAAACATTAAATATACTTTCTGTACACTCATGCAATATTCAGTACCTTAAAGGGTCTTTACGGCTACAACATATAACAGACATACACAATAGATGGCTGGTTTTAGACTTACTTTAATTTTCCTTCAGCAGCCTTTCTCCTAGTGAAATATTTGGGTGGAGTGTTTTGAGGTATACTAGATAAGCCACCCTACCCCATAATACTCTGCAAAAGCCTTGCTCTCTTTATTAGCAAGGCTGTCAGTCAGTCACATCTGTCCCTGTCCACACCAAATAATTAAACTATACCAGATTGCCTGCTTGACAGTAGTTAAGTGATATCATGCAAAATGCTTTATTTCTGTTTGCAGTCACTTTTTGACAGAAAAGAACAATAGTTTCCAAACTGTTTAAATTAGTGTCTCATGCACCAAGAGCTATGTCACATTTTCATAAAGCATTGTTGCTTTTTTAGAACCTTTACAGACAATATCCACTCTACCTTTAAAAACCTCACTGAGCACACCATTAAATAATTTGTTACAATACCTACTCTACCTATTCTTTAAAAGTCAAAGGGTTTACTTTCAGGAAGTAATACTACAGTAAGACATCTGTTCTGCTACCTACTGTGTGATAAAACTCAGATTTCGAAGGCATCTCTATTAATCTCATTTGGAGAGTTTTCTTGAAGGGAAAAAAAAAAAGCTTTTTAGAAGCACAAGCCTCTTGAGATGAATAAGACTCCTTCCAGGTGCAGAAGCTTACAACACAAGTTCAATAAGTCACTTTCATAATGAAAAGAACCTCCATGTTCTGCACTATTAAGTAGCCTAAAGAGGCTTTTAGTTACTACATTATCTGACGTAACAATAGCTGATTTAGGGAAAAGATTATCTGTTTCTACTTGATAGGAGCACTGTAACAAAACAGATGCTGCTCCGAACAAGATTGTAGGGACATTTCTGAAGCTGTAGTGGTTACACAAAAATAGTCTCTCCTCCTCCCCCATTAACTCTGTAAAGTTAAGGCTGAATAACTTTAAAAATAGATAACCAATTCAATGGTGTTGTCAGAAGGTACTCCCATGCCACAGGAATAACTCTTAGGAACTCATGTTAATGAGTCAAGTGAAAGATGTGAATTCTACAGAATCTTAAATTAAAGTTAAGGAACTTTTATTTTATTTAGAGAGAAGTTATGACGGACTAGAGAAAGGATCAAGGATCAAGGATCAGTCTGAACTAACTAAAGATTTTGAAATCAGTTCTTCTAAGTGCATCAGCCTTCTCGCTCTCGCCCTTTATCCTTCGTCTAAGTTAATGAAATTCACATCAAATTTTGTGGATTTAACTAGATTTTTAATTTAGTTCGTTTTAAATCCAGGATAAGAGGGAGAATAGGAAATTACCACTTCAGTCAGAATGGGAGATCTCCTTGATATTCAGGAACCTGAGACTTGCTTGCTTGCTCGCTCCCTCCCTCCCCCCAGGACAACAGAGATGAGGAACCTGAAAGACCCAAAAGGGTTTCAATACAAGAGCAAGGTTAGGACACCTGTCTCTATTCTGTGCAACACATACATAAGCCTTTCTATTAACGTAAGATAGCCTAACCCTGACCCAGCTTTTGGTGAAGACATTGCATTCACTGAGCTCAGCATATGGACATGAAGTGCCTTTGTGTGCTCAGTATGAAAGCCTGCTGCCTGACCCCCAGAGTTCTACACATCACACTTATTTCTGATCTACAAAACACTTTCCCATTAAAAATTTAGAAATTAAAATTTTGTTCAAAACACACGTCAATGGGACTTGCGCTAAGTCACTTAGGCTCTACTGAAAATCCCACACATTGTCTTGTGTCTTCTTGTGAATTTTAGATGAATGTTTCTAATATTTAATGAATTTGCAATCTCTTTCAGTCATCAACTGAAAGACAAAATATTTGAATTACTCTTCATATTTCTGGCAATAGTCAAACGCTACCAATGCTATTGGAAAAACAGCGTAACTTTTTAAAAGCATTAAATAGATTCTATCTGTAAAGAAAAACAACTTAGATAGTGCATTACAATAACAGTACAGGCAGTAACAGAGTGCAAACATTTCAGGGGGAAAGAATTAATCACCAATACATCGTTAACTTGTCTCATTTTCCAGTTTTAGTATCTCATTTTGACCAGTTGCTGTAAGGCGAGATAACAGTCTTTTGTAGGCTTCTCTGTTAAAAAACAAAAGCATATAATATGTTAGTTAAACAATTTCATAGGACTGAAGAGTAAAAAAAATAGTTTTCATGCAAGCTTTTCACGTAACATGAGGTAAAACCAGAACTTTTTCCTTCCTCACTTCTGCAATTGCTTTGTTTACTATGAATTTTTAGCGAAGTTTGGCTGAGGGGCAAACAAGGATCGAATGGCATGGCACCTAAGAATATAAGAGCGGCCATACTGGCTCAGACCAATGGTCCATCTAGCCCAGTATCCTGTCTTCCGAAAGTGGCCAATGCCAGGTGCTTCAGAGGGAATGAACACAACAGGTAATCATCAAGTGATCCATTCCCTGTCACCCATTCCCAGCTTCTGGCAAACAGAGGCTAGGGACACCATCCCTGCCCATCCTGGCTAATAGCCATTGATGGACCTATCCTCCATGAATGTATCTAGTTCTTTTTTGAACCCTGTTATAGTCTTGGCCTTCACAACATCCTCTGGCAAAGAGTTCCACAGGTTAACTGTGCGTTGTGTGAAGAAATACTTCCTTTAGTTTGTTTGGCACATAGATCTTGAAGATATTCCATTTACTAAGTAAACTTTCCTCCTAAGCTAGACACTTCTTTATTTTAAATTATGTATTTACTTGTCTAGCTGAGGCTCAAAACCAAAATCATGTACAGAGCTCACTGTGTTACCACATATTCAATTTTTGTTTAGGATATTTTGTATGTAGTTCATGGAGTGGTGGTTCCAAAACGGCACACTATGACAGGTTGCTACAATGGGCTTAGAAAGAAGGTTAAAGATATCACCATATCATTAGTTAATTATCCATGAAGACATTTATGTAAAGAATAGATATGAAATATTTCTATATTTTTCTTCACAAAATATCCTTCTCAGTCATTTCAATTCTACAAATAGGTTGCATATATTTGCTGTGATTTTCATGTTAAACCATAACATTTGATAGTGTCATTACCAGTGTAATTTCTTGGCATTGGTTCTGATTTACATGGGATCTGAACTTTAAGAAATATAGTAAGCATATGTAGAATAATGCAAAATTATATACATAGATATTTATGCTTAGAGGATCTAGATTTGAGAAAAAGCTTTTTACTAGGATGACTGTATTTTCATTGTTCATGGATAAGGCTACGGTTATGTCACGGAAGTCACGGAATTTGTGACTTCCAGTGACCTTTGTCACATTGAGGGCCCTCTCAGCTGACCAGCCGCCCTGTAGTGTAAAAAACTGCTATCTGAATGAATGTGCTACTTGGAGTGTACTACGCATGCTCAGTAACATCTGCTGAAGCCAGCAGCAGGGGACTCCTGCAGCAGCCCAACTTCCGTAGGCTGCTGCCAGTGCTGGTGGGGACCCCTGAGCTCCCCAGCTGCCACTGTGAGCAGCCGGTGTCATCCGCCCCCCTCTCCTCTCTCCGGGCCGCAGGCAGAGGGATACCAGAACTGCTCAGCGGCCACTGGAAGGAGCCCCCAAACAGCTCCCCAGCCACCGTCGCTGGCAGGGAGACCCTGCAACTTCCAGCTGCTGCAGGAAGGGGAAGGGTGCTAGACCCTCCTCCCTTCCCATTTTGTCAGGAATGTGTTTTGAGTAAAGTCAGGGACAGGTCACGGCCTGTGACCTGTCCATGACTTTTACTAAAAATATCCATGACAAAATCATAGCCTTATTCATGGATCGCCTTAAAGGGGTGGACAGGGAAGCAGTTTAATAATTCATTTAATAAAGTTTTTACGCATTTATAGAGAAAACATTGTGGAGAACATTAACACCAGATCTTAGAGTATATATTATGAGGTTATTACTAAAGAAAACTTGACAGTTTGGTAATCCCCTAGTATATTCTTGGGGAAGTTCAAACAAACTGTCTTTTTACGCTCTGTTAGCAAATGGATGAGCTTTGCTTTATTGACAGTATAAAAAATGTTATATAAAAGTGTCTACAGACTACATGATCAAAAGGAAAAACTGAGGGAATTTGAAAATCCTTCTATGAATAGTGGAATAGCAAGCAGTCTAACACAGCATGTACTTATTTAAAATAGAAGCAACTATTTTTTCGTGGAGGGTAAGAGGGGCTTTAAAAGAGAAACTGAATAAAAAGCAGGGCATATTTTATTTTATATTTAACTCCTTTCATTTGTACTCTGTTGAAAATGAAACTTGTTGCATGGACAATGACTGAAAAATATGCTTAGACACTGTACATATTTTATGAGTTGGAGTTTGTATGACTGTATAAAATACAAAATGAATAGAATATTTATAACCCCAAATCCTGCAAAGAGTTACACACTTGCTTAACTTTACACATTGTGGGTAAAATCCAGACCCCACTGAAGTCAATGGCAAAACTTACAAAGGCTTCAGTGGAGCCAGGATTTCACCCGTTCAGTAGCCCTAGCCCCACTCAACAAGGAACTTAAGCAACAACATAATTTTAAGCACTTCTAGAGACTAAGACTACATCTACACTACAGCACTTGCAGCTGTGTCACTGTAACGCTTGTGGTGGAGATGCTCTCCTGTCGGCTAAACTCCTGCCTCCACGAGAAGTGGTAGCTATGTTGGCGGGAGAAGCTCCCCCAGGCTTCTCCCACAGACATAGCATTGTCCATACGTGCACTTAGGTCAGTATAATTTACAGCACTCAGGGATGTGGATTATTCACACCTCTTAGTGACGTTAGTTACAGTCATATGCCTAAATACCCAGCTGAATAGGAAACACCAATAGTAAATTTACATATTCGATCCTTAGCTAGATCAAAAATCAATAAATGTAAGAATAATTAGGACCTATGAGAGTTAATATTCTACATGGTTAAACACTGTACTCATGTTGGAACAAACATTACACATTTTAATGTGCATATTACTCAATTAAAAAAAAACTCCTGACTTTCTGTATTTTTCCTCCCTTTAAATTTTAACCTCCATCCCTCTCCTTTCTGTATCAAGGGAATGAAAAGGAACACATTACCTTATTACAGAAAAGTACTGCTCCCCCATTATGTTATTCTTACTTTGGTAGAAAAAAAAAATCTGAACACCAATCTCTTACTAGTGCTTAGGACCACAGCATGCATTCTATTTTCTTGACTTATAAAAGTGAGACAAATTATACTTTTATGCATGAGAAGATGGAATCGTTCCTCCTCATTTAGAATCCTCTAAGTGAGCATCTTCCTTAATATATGTATCCTGCATGACTGTATCCACTCTACAAGACTGATTTCTTGACCCTTTCTCTCATGCTCCACTGGGAAATCATACATTACTGGTGAAGTTCTGGTTCATTGTAAAGTATATTTTGGTATCCTCTTTTTGTTTTAATTTTAGTATTTTCAGTTTATATTATATAAAATTAAAATGACTCTGAGGAAAGGATTTTTTGAAAGCTCTGAAATCACCAGCTTTTATTTTTTTTATTTTATACTGTGTACAAAAACCCTTAAAATTAATCCCTGGATATTTCTTATGCCAAGCCCGAATCAGATATTTACACTAAAATTGCAGTATAAATCCTTAAAAATAGGGATTTATAGCACAATCAAACTAAGGAACTAAATCGATTGTAAGCTCTTTGGAGCAGGGACTGACTTTCTGTTTTGTGTTTGTATCGCATGTAGCATAAAGAGGTCCTGGTCCATGAGTGGGCTCCTAAGTGCTAATGTAATATAAATAACCATTATTTATTTATATGGAAGCCAGCAGGCTCTGCATTAAATTACTGTGTGTGTTTTTGTAAGCTTGGGGTCAAAACATCAGAGAGAGCATTTCACAATTCTAAGTTATCTGTATGTGCTAAATTTCTAAAAAAAGGTAAATTTCTGGCTGAATGTACTTACACATCAGTTACACAAAATCTATGCTGCAGTCTAAAGTTGCCATCCATCAAGAGAATACACCTCTGTTGTTCACTGACAAAAAGCAATAATAATACAAAATGTACCTTTGTGCAGTGTTTCTGCCAAGCCCTTGTTTGTGCTCTGAATCCTTCAGGGACTGTGTGATTGTTGGAATCAGACTGATAACTAGGGGCTGATCCAAGACTGCCACTACTTCTAGGATGCTGTAAACCTGATGATCATATACTGTGGTATAGTCCTGGATAAACTGCCTGAAGGAGAAACAGGGGCACTTCATGCAAGGTCAAAACTAGATATAGAGAATGTGCAAAGGAACAACCACCAAAAGAGTCTGATCAGCAGAACCATCTTGAATGCTTGGAAGTTTTCATTTTATACAAAAAAGAAGAACAGGAGTACTTGTGGCACCTTAGAGACTAACAAATTTATTAGAGCATAAGCTTTCGTGGACTACAGCCCACTTCTCTGTATCTGTACGAGTTTTTTCATGAGGTTGATGGATTTCCATTCCATACGGCTAAATGCAGTGCCTTGCATAATGACAGGTTTCAGAGTAGCAGCCGTGTTAGTCTGTATCCGCAAAAAGAAGAACAGGAGTACTTGTGGCACCTTAGAGACTAACAAATTTATTAGAGCACGAAAGCTTATGCTTCTTTTCGCGGATACAGACTAACACGGCTGCTACTCTGAAACCTGTCATTTTATACAAAAGACTTTAGGGGCTGCATTTTTAAAGGCTAATGCTACAGGATCAACATGTACATGCACACATTTTTACCAGTGAAACTTAAAGCCCGGAGATCCTGCAAGCTGGTCTATGTGGGCTGACCCCTTCGTCCAGGGCACTCTGCCCTGAAGCAGGCGTCTTCTTGCGTAGAGGAGCTTGCAGGATCAGGGCTTAAATATAGATATATATATAATAGTCAGAATGGTGAGGTGAGGACATGCAAAATCGGACATAAAATGCCCCCTGAAAAAGTTGCTTTTTGTAGCGTGTGGGCAGACTGGTGTTCCAGCAGAGAGCCCTATTGATTTCAATGGGACTGTCCACCCAGCTGTCAACCTGCACACTATACAATACAGGATCAGGGTCTATGTCTGCAAAATTTCTTTGGGCACTGTGCTCATGCAGTTTGTTCACTGTATATGCATGGGGAGTGAGATTCATGGGCAATACAATCCTGTCAAGTTTGGTAAAAAGCTCAATTTTCATGGTGAAAAATCTGAATGTCACAAATTCGGAATTTCAATAATAAAAAATGTAAAAGCAAAAAAAAGAGTCAGATGTGCCTTTCAATTTAGGAATATACACTTTGGCAATTTGGCCTCTGACATCATGCTTCACCATTCGCCCAAGGAGTTTCTCCCATTATGGTTGCAATACATCCCTCTGTTGTTTATCTTTCAAAACAGTATGGAATCCACAGGAAAATTTGTATTTTTTTCTTTCACTTTTTAGCCAACCAGTATTTTAAACCACTGCCAAGAATGCAATAATTTAAGTACCATAAACAAGTAACAGTGCATTAGGTTAGGGATAATTAGTTATTTAAAAAAATATGTTTGCTGTCAAATGCTTTGCAATAGCAGCACTGCCAGTTGGCGTATTTTCTAGTTACCTAAATACAGAAGTCAGTTGGGTGGCAGGTTCTCTTCCCAACCCTGCTTGGCAGCCTTCTACCATATACTGCAGAATCTCGCTAGATAGTTTCTTAACTGTAAAAAAAAAAAAATACACAAGCTAAGTTGGCTATAAAGAACAGAACGAATCACAGACGTATTCAACAGAAAAGGGGTTTCTGAGGCCCCTCCAACATTCCATGTCCCACAACAACTGGTTTTTCTCTATATAAAAGCATTAACAGGTCGGAAGCAGGGCAACTGCCTGGGGGCCCATGCCACAAGGGGCACAGCGAAACTAAGTTGCTCAGGCTTCAGCCCCAGGTGCTGGAACTCAGGGCCTCAGGCTTCAGCTTTCTGCCCTGAACCCTAGCGAGTCTAACGCCAGCCATGTTTGGCGGATCCCCTGAAACCAGCTCATGGCCCCCCAGGACCCCCGGACCCATGGTTGAGAACCACTGCCATAGAACTCTGACCTCCCCACTGTTATGATTGAAATACACAGATTTTAAGCACTGTCTTTTTTAAAAGGGGGAAATGTATATTTTAAGCATTGTCCCCTAAAGACGTACACGCTCCATGGAAATGGAGGTATATATTTCAGTTTGGGTTTTGTTTGTATTCTTTAGATCATTCCCACTCTGAATGAGAAGGAAGCAGTCAGGCCATTCTATCCTGATCAAAACTAAGAACAGGAACTATCAACTATCACCAACAGTACTACTGTCTTTTTTCTCTCTGTTTTTCCTCCCCCCCCCCCCCAAAAAAAGTACTCAATATATTTATCCTTCCTTCCACCCCAATTTATTTGGGATAATACTAATTTGCAAGGCTGATTTTCTTCTTTTATAAATTTGGAGCTGTACTCAACCCTGGGTTATGTTGGGTTCCTGGTCTTGGCAGAAAGTCATCCTACAGAGGATCCTGGCAGTACAAAACTTAGCCAGCTCATGCTTCAAGAGGGGGCCTAACGCTGGCTAACACAGTTGCAAACTGGATGGTACTGGCTGGGAATGTGCCTCTACCACTCTCTGCAGTGTAATAAACCTACCTACTTGAATGAAAAGTGCTCAGTAAGTATAAAATATTATATATGTACAAGTATATTTAAAGTTAACAAGCATCTCACCTTGTGTTTCATTAACTAATACCATGCATTTCAACACAACAGGGAGAAGCAACTCAATGTCACATACTTCAGTGCTCTTGGTTCTTTGAAATACTTGAAGGATGAAAGCCAGAACTGAGGCCAGGCGAGGAGGAGGGGCGTTACCTTTGAACTGGAGGTAGTTTTCCCTGGAACAAAATAAAGCTCAGTCTATAACTTATTTTTTCATTAAACAATGGTACAACAAATAAAATATTACATCCTTTAAATAGAGTATTGCCGTATATCACCAGGAGGGCCATTAAGTAGATTTCTATCATTATGTAGGATCAGCTACTGGCTTCTCTTTATTTTAGTCTTAGAAATGATTCACAATTAGGGTGACCAGATGTCCCAGTTTTAAAGGGACAGTCCTGATATTCGGGGCTATGTCTTATATAGGTGCTTATTACCCCCCACCCCATCCCGGTTTTTCACACTTGATAGCTGATCACCCTACTCACAATTCAGCAGAGCACCACAGAGTAGGGGCTTACAACTCACCTATTGTTGTGCTAACCCAGAAATGGCAGTTATCACAATTATGGTCAAATGCTCATATGTCTATAAAAGCTGAATCCACACAAAAAACAGACAACTTTTGATTGTGCAAAACCCAATTATACACATGCAAATGGCTACTTATAAGCAATAATACCCAAGGACATATCCTTAAATGCATAAGCTCCTTTCAAACCCACACCATATTTGACCCTTTGCATTTATGCTCTGTGGGCAAACTTCTCCTCAGATCCCCATTTGAGATCTCCACTCCAATGGTCTGCTCTCATTAAACATAAAGAACTCCCATTGTGTAAGTTGACTTTTTCCTTTGTTTCCAGGAAACATCCACCAGATTTCCAAGGACAAAGTATCCAGAACAGTGTGACCTTGAAAACAGGCCTCCAAAATATTTTAAGAATTCTTAGTCAATTATTTTATTTCTTACATGCTTTCTGGTTGATTAAAACCCTAAGAACTTTAACTATTCACAGTCAATATGGTTTGAAGTTATATTAACACAGTTGCTACTACTTCATCTTTGCCAACATTATATTGCAAAGGGACAGACAACCTCTACCTCTGCTCAGCCAGAATAAATACAGCAGGCTCAAATATAACATGGGTCACAAAGACAACTGGTAACTGACACCCTAGGGCAGGAATGAATTTTGACATCAAGCACATTTTAAGTGTTCCAACTTGATGACCTCAGTTATTGTTTTTCACCAAGAGGATGCAAGAATCTGAACCATAGTTAGTCTGAAATTAGGAATCAGTTTATTGAAATATAAAGACAACCCTTTGATTTTATGAGCTCAAGAGAAAATATATGTAGTACAATAACATAACATTGCATTTCCTCATCAGGTAATACAATAACTTATGGAGCATGCAAAATAACTTTCCAGGTATCTAACACTAGCTTAAAAAAAAATATTGCCCATGAGGAATAAGGCCTGCTTTACATTGGTATAGCCACGTCTCTCAGGGGTATGAAAAATCTACACCTGAGAAACGTAGCTATATCAACATAATCGCCAGTATAGACAGCACTAGAATTCTTCCCTTGACCTAGCTACCGCCTCTTGGGGAGGTGGAGTGCCTGCGCTGATAGGAGAACCCATGGAGACAGTGTGTACACTGAAGTGGTGCAGCTGCACCGCTGTAGCATGTTAAGTGTAGACATGTCCTAAGAATAAATCAGTTAATAAGTGCAACATTACAAAAAGTTCCAGTGAAACTGAGTACAAGGCATTACAGTACATGCTCCTCTGGATCTGTCAGCCTGTGCAATGTTAATTTGTCCCCCTCCCCGGTGTGTATGCATGATGATACAGTGTTTGTTTATACAATCACATACTACTTTTCCTCCAGCCCCTGTTCCCATCCCCGTTGGCTCCCAGTCACAATCTTACTCCCCAGGCTCCTCAACTTGTCTCAGGTCTGGTCTACACTAGGAAATTAGGTCAGTATAACTACTTTGCTCCAGGGTGTGAAAAATCCACATACGTGAACAATGCAGTTAAACCGGCCTAACCACCCAGTGTAGAAAGCACTAGGTTGACAGGAGAATTCTCCCAGCAACCTACCTACCCGCCTCCCGGGGAGGTGGATTACCTACGCCGACGGGAGAACCCCTTCGTCTTCACTGAAGCGCTATAGCCAACTAGCTGCAGTAATGCTGCTGAAATGGTTTACATGTAGACAAGCCCTTAGTCTACCTTGCTCCAACTCTTCCCTGCTTCATCTCAGCTAGAGCTGGTCAGGAATTTTTCAATGAAATGGGTTAAATCACAAAATGCTGATTCCTTGAAACCAAAACTTTTAGTGGGAACTTATCAGTTTTGACAAAACTTTTGTTGGGAATGTTTCTCAGGTGCAGGATGGAATTTCTGGTCAAACCCAGAGAAAAAGCGTTCCTCCACAGAATAACCAATAGTCCAATGGTTAGAGAACTCAGGAATGTAGGAGACCCAGGTTCAAGTAACTGCTCTGTCTGATTTAAAACATGGACTTACACTTGGTTCTCCCACATTCCAGGTGAGTGCCCTAACCACCAGGCTATTAGGTATTCTGGGGTGGATGGTGGGGGTCTTTCTCTGTTTTTTTTGCCAAATAAATAAATAAAAATTAAAAAGAAATTTAAAATCTCTGTTTTGGAACAGGAAAATTTTTGAAATCTCAAAAATGTTAATAGGCCCGGAAAACTGTTTCCCACCCACCTCTACTCCCAGTCGCCACTCTCCCTGGTTCCTTGCCCAACCAGTCCCAGACGCTCCCTGGGTCTGATCTCAAGCCCTCAACCCACCGGCTCCCAGTCCCCATCTCCCCTACCTGCCTCCCAGTTTCTTTGTCCAGCAAGCCCCAGTCTTTCCTACTCCAACCCATTGTTCCAGTTTCCCCTCTCCTACCATCCTTCTTTTTCTCTCCTACATCAAAGCTCCTTGTTCTAATCTATTCCCTATGCCTGCCAGTCTGGCTCTTACCTCTCTGCTATAGAATCAACCAGCTTTTTCCTCCATGCTGTCTGAGCCAGTGGGAAGGTACTGAGAACACGAGACAGGATCTCTGTTCCAGTGTCCATAAGTAGTCCAGAGCAGCAATCACAAGGAAAGTCATGCTCAGCCCCAGGATGGATGGAATCTTTGGGGAATTTAGCTGTCTAGCAAGTTTCTACTGAGCATGTGTGAACTGTGATTTTCCAATTGCTTATAATTTAGCCAAATTTGGGGAGATTTTTTCTGACAAAAAAGCCACCCTAGTGCCAAAGTTCAAGTCCCGTCTCCAAAGTATAGAGGCATTAGAGTGTCTCAAAGAAAAGGTCACCAGAATTTTTTTAAATGGGCAAGCCAATGTATTTTTCCCTAGCCTCATTCTCGGATTTTTCTGAAATTTTCCAGATATATTTAACCTGAGGCAAAAACCCAGCATGTAAAATTTCAGCCCAAAAGTTAAAATTTGGCAAACTTATAAGCAACTGGAAACAGGGTCTTATAATGGAAAGTGTCAAACAACCTTAATAATAGGCAGTGCTAGTAGACTTATCTATAATAATAAATAATAGATTATAACACCACCACCTTCACTAAACACTTATAAAGTGCTTTTCATTGGTAGATCTCAAAGCACTTTACAGAGGTGGGTGGAAATATTATGCCAACATTACCTATTAAGTAACTGAGGCATTGAGTGGTGAAGTGATTTGCCCACAGTTAGAGTCAACAGCAGTGCTCTAAGTAGATCCTGATCTTCTGCCTCCCAGTCCAATGCCCCATCAATGAGCCAGACTACCTCTGATATTATCTGTCACATTAATTAGAGGTTACAATACAGTATCTAGTTTCTCAAGGATTTGATTGAGGGAAGTAGGCAGTAAGTTTATTTGGTGTTTGGGGAAGAGTACTTTAAGATAGTTTTGTGGTGTTTTAATTGTTAAATTCAAGCTGCTGCGCATGTGCTCAGAGGCTAAGAAGGGTAAATTTTAAATGAATAAATAATGGCCCCAATGCAAGACATTTGCCTTCTCTTCTGTTCTTAATCGTGTCTGCTCCCAGTTCACAAGGACCAGGATCTCTGATGAACTATTCAACGGAGTCCTGAACCGAGGTTCATTTCAGAGTCTCTATTCTCCCTGCTGTTTTCCAGCCTGCACATTCAGGAAGTAATAGACCAAAAATAAAAATATTTGCACTGCTTTATCTTTTTCCCACTTCAACCTCATTTAAAATAAAACTGAAATAAACCAACATAATAATGTACTTGACATGAACTCTTTTCACACAGAAGTCACTAAAAATGTAAATCCTGTAGACATTCCATTCATCGCCTGTTTATTCATCTAACAAAAAACAAAAACAAAACAAAAAAAAGACATGCCACCTGAAAATTATGCTCTTAGCTGGTCTGTATAATCCGTGTTCTCATTACAATTATCCTCATTTCCCCCACCTTCTGATGTTTGCTACAGGCAACTATTGCATCTTGACTTAATTTAGATTAAAAGCTCTTTGGAGCAGGGACTGTCTCTTATGTGTTTGTACAATTCGCAGCACATGGGGCCCAGATCCAGACTGAAGGCTGTGTGTGCTCTACTCCAATATAAACAATAATAATAATTAATACCATTGTTCCCCCATGGCTTATTTGGGAAGAAGTTAAGTCTAGATATCTACAAACTGGCTTACTCCTTTTTCAGGCCTTACTTTATGACATGCGCAGTGGTCTTCCGCAGATGTAAGGTCTGTGGGATGGTAATAGAATTGCATAATGCCAGCAGCATGGGATGCTGTCCAGTTCCTGGAGAAGATGGTGAAGGAGGGAGAAAGCGCCCAAAATACTGCTGAATAACGCTTCCTAGCAGTTGGTTCAAATAGGCACCTTGAGTTTGGGACTGACAGCATATAAAGGACAAGCCCTGTGGAAAGTAAAAAAAAATTAACAAGTATAAATATAAAAAAGTGTCCAACATCCTCCTAACTGCAACAGTTTCTGATGCCTAAAGCTGTGTGTGAGCTATTGCTGCATGCAGAATGGTAACTGTGGCTCACACGTTCACTGCATAACAGCATCTGATGAAGAGGGTTTTAGCCCACGTAAGCTTATGCCCAAATAAATTTGTTAGTCTCTAAGATGCCACAAGGACTCCTTGTTGTTTTTGCTGATACAGACTAACATGGCTACCACTCTGAAACCTGCATAACTAGGGAATGTCAATGCTTTGTAAAGCACATTGTGATACTGGAGTACGAAAGGCACCAAGCGAAGTTAAATATTGTTCCTATTAATGCCATAATAGAAAAAGTAACTCTGAGAATAAAGATCTGATAGGAGAGTGTTGGGTATGACATGAAACAAGTTTGTTTGAGTTAGACACCAGCTATACTGGATTTTTGGGTAGGGGGATAGGGAGGTTGTTGCACCAGTTTAAGGCAACGCTTCCTTCAGCGCAACTTATCCTGGGTATATCACTTTCTGTTTTGCACTGGTACAGGCTATCTATTGGTATACCTACAATGTTTAATTACACTGGTGCAGGTACCCCTAATCTGGACAAGTCCTTAGAAGTGAAAACAAACAGCGGAGAGATGGGAACATCAATGGAAAACCAATTCTGAGAGAGGCCTCCGATCACTACTGTAATAGTGAGTTTATATTTGCTGCAGGATGGCCAAAGTTCTGTTTTCCTACAATTTTGAGTTTCCTTGTGAGACAATCCTTCAGGATAGGATTATAGCAAGGACTGGGCTGTCACTTCTTCCATAGTGCTTCTACAGCAACCAAGTGTAAATGACACCATCCTGGCCTCTACACAGGGAAGGAACTGGTCATTTTCTCCTAATGGGGGCACTAAGGTTGATGAAATAGGGCTGCAAAGGTGTTTTTCCTTACCTGTTCTACTCAAATGATCATGTTGATTCTATAACAGTTATATACAAGGTGTACCCCTATCTTATACCAACTCAAGAAGATACATACTGAAACTGACCAGGATCACATCAATTTCATTTTGTCCTGGCAATAAGCTAGTTATAAATTTGACTGCTAAAATTATATCAGTGGCAGAGGCATATGTGAGAATGAAGAAAATATTGTATACAACCTACATTTATATAGGGGAAGAGCCAAATTCACACTGCAGTGTTCTGGTTCTATAGTCTAGATAAGTTTTAATATTTTTCAGCTTCCAAAATCTGCTCTGTTATTTTTGGCACAGCATATTCTTCAAATCTGATTTTATATTCTAAATTTTGCAGACAGCTGGTCACAAATAGTAAAAACTGAAAAATGTTGAAATTTCAAAGTTGTTTTTATTTCAGTGTCACTTTTTTAAAAATTGAGTTTAAACAAAACCTATTGAAATATTATTTACCAGAACCCAAGACAAAAAATGGTAAATGATATCTTGATTATTATTTTTTAATACAAAAAATGAAACAATTCAATGTAAACAACTTTTGGTGAAAATGTTTAATTTTTGAAAAAGGCTATTTTTTTTCAATGAAAAATTATACCAGCTCTAATTTTGGATGTAAAATATACACACCTACACACGCAAAAATTAAAAGCAGAAAAAAGAAATTAAAAGTCATTTCAGTGGCAAGTATCCGAACAAAGTTAGCTCCCTAAAGAAGCTCATGATGGTGGTGTCAAGACACTATACAATAATTCATTATTGCTTCTTTTCTTGCTGCCTCTTTCCTCGTGGTGGTTTATTTTACAGAGTAAGGTGAAAAATCATTAGACATACGTAAAAAAAATTGTAGCAGATTGCTTTTTTACGTTGGTCATGTTGTAACCAAAATCCACTAAAAAACACAATGAATAAACTAGGCAGCAAATGTCTGCCCAATGAGTGAGCTGAATAATGTCTTAGGGAAATTAATATATATTATTAATAATATATTAATATATGTGAAGGAAAAAAAATCCCCTACCTGTGTAATAGGTTTCTGTGAGAGTAGTTCCATCACAATAGGTGCTCCTCCCTTCACTGGTGACTGACAGGAAGGATGAGTTAGAGGGGGAAAAAAGATAGCCCTATCCTGTCACAAAGTGTCATAATGGAGAGTGCACTCAGAAACCAGAAAAAGAAACTTCCTTGGAATTCACACACTAATAGGTTGATCAAACAAACTTCTTGACATTTTCTGGAACTGAGAGTCATTTTTCTGGAGAACAGATGTTTTGGTTCCATTCTCAGGGAAGAGAGAAATCCAGAAACTCAAAAACCAAGGAGCTTAAGGACCTGTCTGACAGATAGATGTTGCCTGAGGATAACTCAAACACCACTGAAAGAATGTTTTAAGTGTATCTTATGTGAAATACATGCAGGTTGTTATTGAAGTTTATTTATTATGGTCTTGTATCTTCTGATGAGATACTGCACTAGATGTACATGGAAGATTGCTTCTTGTGGCACAGCTGTTAATAAGACTTAAGAGATTCCATATTGAATTCCCTTTATTCCAAAAACTAGCACAGCTACCTGCAATCTAAGATTACTCTCAAGTCTCCTGAATGCTTCAACATTAGAAACAGGAGAGAAAAGACATTCATCTAGCTGAGCTGAGGGACAGGAAGACCACCACATAACTTGGGAGTATAGGATACACTTGTTTACAGCTTCTCCTTTCCACAGGCTGAAGAAATAATAATATTAGCAACATTTATTATTATTATTAAAGGATTAGATGAGGGAACGCTCCTTGAGCTTGAGAGAAACAAGGCAAATTCTCAGAGCAGCCAGGTGAAAAGACAAAAATAATCCACTTGGCTGATGGTATGTTTTCTTATTCTTAGGAAATGGGTAATTCTGCTTCTAAACATATTTAGCCATCCTAACGAAGACAATACCAAAAAGTGTGCCTTTACTGAATGACAGGGATGGAAGCGATTGTTTGTTCTGAAGTTCAGTGACATACTCCACTGGCTAAAAATTTAACAAAAATGTTGACAAAGTTGAAGTAGCATCACGGATTCTAGGTCATCAGTAGCCAAAATAATATGATGTAAGCTACTTTTCATTTTTCTTTAATTATTTTATGAGAAGAGAGAGCTATCTATCTTGACATCCAAACAAAAAGAACTCTGGTGACAAAAGATTTATTTAGAATTGTGCTGAAGCCTTTCGTTCCTGAATCAAATACCTTCCTAAAGATGCTTCCATTTTCCTGTTTGATGGATCAGATAAAGTTACCTCTTCAAAAGACATATATGATTTTGTAGATCACCCAGTAATATGGGAGTCTTATTTTTAGAGAGGCCCTCAGACCATTTTTCTCCTTAGGGGAGGGTATTACATGCTTTTTGGCAGAGGAAGTTTATCAGCTCATGGGTGATAAACTTCCCCCTCATGGGTCTTCCCTCTCACGGACCTTTACTCTAGATTGGAAATAGTGCGAAAACACCTTTCTTTTTGTGAGCATCAGGAAAAAACACTTCTCTGTGGTAGCAGAATCTTCAGTCAAGTCTTGGGCACTGATCTCTTTAGGGTGGCTCATGTCCTCTTCTTTAAAGTGCCTCAGTGAAGAGTCATCAGACCCTGAAGAGGATGCTGAATAAATTTCCCCTGCCTCCTCAAACCTTCTGAGGGAGAAGTTTGGATTTCTTTTTTGCACACAAAGGCATGTCAGAATTGTTGTGCAATATAGGGCTCTTTGTTTGGCGATGAAGAGTACTTCTTGCTCTTATAAGTGTTTAGAGAAGGCAAGATCTCCATGGAGGCCAAGATAGAGAGTTGATACAGTAGCATTAGAGAGTTTGGCTTCACTGAGGTATTTTGCCAGCTCCATATCCTAAGTGGCAAAGTGGACTGAGCAAAAGCTCTGTCAGGCGACTTGGAGAAACGTTCATGCCACCAGTGGCCTAGGAAGCAAATACAAGGATGGGTACTATCTTCTTTTGGTAGATCCTGTCAGAAGTTAGCTGGGAACCTGCCCTCTTGTGTGAAGGAGAGAACGAACCTACATTGCTAGACTGCAGCTAACTGGGTTTTGGACTGGAGGTTTGACCTCATCCATTTCAGACACACAGACCTTCTTTATACAGCAGATAGGCATTACAGAGAATGTTGATAAAGGCTGCCTTATTTTTCTCCACTTTTATCATGTTTTTCAGGCATCTTCTGAAGAAAGGAAAAAAAAGTCTCCTGAGGAGAAGTGCATGCCAGCATCATCTCCTCACTTAAGCAGAGTGGCAATAGATTTTTGTGTGCACTAACAGCAGGGACAATTTGTGCCAGGAAATGCTTCTTTCTTCTGATTCATCTATCTATCTGTCAATCACCTATGAAGAGAGAAGGACCTTTTAGTATGGACTGCTGGTACTATTCACTGCAGAAACACCAAACTGTCTTATGATGACATATAATGTCAGTCCTGCTGATGGAATAAATCTGTTCACCAATTAATGTTGTACAGTGCCTATTAAATACATGCTATAATTCACAAAATGCGGTACTGAACTTCTTCAGATCTCTGACAGTACAGTACAGATGAGGGCTTTGAAGGCCTGTCCCTTGAGAGATGCTGAGCATGCTCAATTCCATTAAAGACAACAGGAGCTGCGCATGCACAGTGCCTTTCAGGATCAAGCTCTTATAATACTGATCATTTGAACAGAGGATACTATAGGCCCCTATATATATATATAATACATATTCATTTCACATACACACATCATATTTTGCAAGACATTTATACCACTAAATTTGGAAATAATAGTTTTAGTGCACAAACACTGTTACCTTCATCACTGTTGGCAAATTATACCAACACTCCTCCAAATCATTTTCTAAATCCATTTTATCAGCAATCAGAACGATTTTCGGATTCCCAGTAATAAACTTCAGCAATTCACTAATACATAAAACCAGCTCTACAACAATGTTTCCAAAGGAATAAAATGCCTAATGTTGGATGTTATATGCCTTGCCTCCTCATCTCACAATTAAAAACAGTGCCATAAAACCTTTAAAATGGCCATCCATTCATTTGTTTGGCGCCTCGCCTTCTAATGTCTGACACTTAACCACTCTGCACACAACTTTGACAACAAATCCTATCAAATTCTTAACTACAGCATTTCCTAGGAGGTCATCAGCTGTCACAAGAACAGTCTGTACAATGGTAGAAGGAACAACTTTCCTTCAGCACCTCTTAAGATAAGAACAAGTACCAGTTTAAAATTGTGAAGTGATGCCAGGGCCTCAGCAAGCCTGAGAAGGCTGGATCGATTAGGGAACACTAAAGAATCTCCAGTAAGTATCCTGAATGTAGTGGAGAATGGACCCTGGGTATCAGGAAACCCTCGAGATGTGTACATGTTACTTAGGGTTTTTTGAACCCAAACCTATTGGTAACTATCTTTTCTTCCCGATAGTTTCAGGAGATAAATCAGTGGGAACACAGCTCCTCCTCTGACGAACGATTGGTACAAACGCGAGTGCTTTTGCCCCCAAATCCCTTTTTATTGAGTTCAAAGCACACATCTAAAATAGCAACAGTTTAGAACAACCCAGATATAGTTACCAAAAGTCTGAGATGGTGTCGAGTGCTCAGTGGTAGGTTTCTAATGGCCAGCCTTCCTCCTAGTTGCTGGGGAGTTGAGTGTCAGCCTTCTAGCTCGTAGAAAACCTCTCTGAACTTCTCCAACTCATGCACTCAGACACATCTTTTTATAGGTTGCTCAGAACAAAGTGCATAACTCAGTCACTAAAAATTTTCCTAACATCAGCCAGCAGCTCCTAGTATCAGATCAACAAAAACTCATAATCAGGAACATCCATATCCCAAGTCAGCTATCCACACTTTCGCCCATTCCCATGGTTCCTCCAATTTTACTTTCTATCCTTATCAGCAAAACTGCAGCTATTTTATATGCTTATACAAAGCTCAAATTATTCCTGACTACATGATGTTCTCGCTTCCAGTTAATGGTGGCTAAGTGGACAAAATGGGTGTGGTGGTGTCAAATCAACTTCTCTCATACATAAGTTCTTTAGCTCACATTTATTTAAGCAGCTAACTAAAATAAAATAAAATAAAATAAATGCTGTAAGTGTAATTAGACAAACCAAAAAAACACACTCTGGCCAATCTTAATGCAGTTCTTAATTCATGCACGTGGCATTCAGACATATGCAATGGGCATCCTAGATATACCTGATAGTTATTTTCATCTCTTTAAAACATACCTACAGTTTGGGGGTTTTAGCGTAGTTAGAGCATATCACAGTGATCATAATGAACTCCCGCAATAATACTTACTTGAGATTCTAATAAACCACACCTATTCATGCTGTAGCCCTCAAAGTACTCACAACACAGAAAATCAAAAGAAAAAAAGGAGAGGGGGAGAAAGAGAGAGAGGAGCTTTGCCATATTCCCTAAAAGATCTGGGCTTTGCCAGTATAAGTTAGGAAAGTTCCAGATTTGAGGACCCCTTAGGAAGAGAGCCCCCTTCTTTTTAAATCAGGGCCCTGTTGCCTTGAGTAATTTGCCAATTGCAACTGCAATCGTATCACATGGGGAGTGTAATGGTTTGGCAAATCTGTCTACATACAAACTTATTAATTCTGGTGGATTTTATGAAATTCATTGTATTTGGAATCAGCCACTTGTTACCAGCACTGGTGGCACATCTCTCCCAGGCCAGTAACAATGGAGAGTCATTAACATGAATAGCCACAAAGAGTAAGAGCACCTTAGAACAATGGGATGGTTCAAGCGTACGGAAACTGGTTTTCCTCAGATTGTCTGCAGAGGGATGGAAAATCCCCAGAAGGAGAACAAAAAAATCAGGCATTTGGACTGGCTGTTAAAAACTCAGATGCTGCGCACACACAAAGGGACGTGGTTTCTGGTTCGGAGGGAATCTTTTCACTGCCAGACCAGCTCAAGCTTGCTTACAGGAGTCAACAAGGAGAATGCATGACCAGGGAGAGAAGACTGAGTCAGATGTGTCAAGTCCAGGGACTCCTGAAGGGACTGGCTATAAACCCAAAGACATCTTGGAGTAGTGAGAAGGCAAAGGAGGGATGGGTTTTAAATGCAGGTTTTTTGCATGGATCTGTAAGTCTCTAGGCTTTCTCTATGAATTCAGCATGTGTACTTTGCAAAGCCTCACTGTCATATGCCCCGGAAAGGCTAAACTTTAAACTGGACTACCCACTATGGCAGAGATCTGGGATAGGGTGTGCTTAAGCTATTGGGAAGATTGGAAGCGGGGGGTGGGGGGCAGCACTGGTCTTGCGACCTAGGGCAAGTGGATTGTGGGGTCCCACTTTCACAAAAGGGTACCAGCAGAAAGTCAGCACTCAAGGGGTGAGGCTAGAGGGCAGAGACAATGCCTGGAGTCTGATCAGATTCAGGGCAGGGTGCTCAAAGCTCATGGATCCAGCAGATAGGTCCACACTCAGCAGCGTAGGGAGTGTCCTGCAGGGGGAGCTCAATAAGGACTGTGTCAGGGAGCGAAACCGGAGAGCACTGCTTAATTTGTAATGAAAGAGGTGCTGGGGCTCCAGCAATTTTTTTTACATTCATAACTGATGCAGCAAGCCCAGAGGTGCCGGGGTTCAGCACTGGCACAAATTAAGCACTGCCAGGGAGCTAGGACCCAAACCATCTAGGACTTTGTAGAAAACCATTATCTGAAAACTTCACCCAGAAGCCTATTGGTTTTCAGCACAGACTACAGAGCACCAGTGTAATATACTCTGTGGATGAAATACCGCTTAGCAAGCAGGCTGCCACATTCTGTAGTAATATCAGCTTCCAGATGGTCACAAGGTATAGACAGCGTCTCAAAATTCCCACAAACCAGCAAAGAACTAAGTCATATACTGCTATGTCATTATATAGTGATATTAATTTTACTATGACATGCCATCAACCACAATGTGACTTTTGGATAAAGGAAGAAAGCTGTGGGATGTCTACAATGTCACCACAACCTCTGAATTTAATTACTGCCTTGTATTACTTAGTTGTTTTTAAGGACAGTAGCAAGAAGTTTATGCTCAAAGTTAGGTTTTGAGGGACCGTAAAAAAGGGTTTGACAGAAAATAATGTGCACATTTAATTATTTATTTTAAAAACAGGTCTTCCTTCAACCCCAATGTAAACAACCTCCTGCACTTCCAGTAAGCCTTACAGCATTTTGAGAGTAAATGAAAAGGTGCGGGGGTGTGTGGGAGAAACAGACTACAACCAATACTGGAACCAATGACTGGACCAAATCCACTGTCAAACCACTGAGATAACAACAGGGTCTTCTCAGAAAGTCCACAAACACAAAAAACAGTAAAAAATAAACATTTAAAATTATCTAACCCCTAGTAAACTAGAGTGTTATTAAGGTATATTTAATAATGTATATTTTCAAATACATGTTTGCTTTCTAATCTCAACCAGTGTCCTTTTATCCATTATGCTTATTTGATCTGCTGTGTCAAAAGTCCCTCATTTAACAAGCCAGTGTTGGCAATAGGTCAGCTAAATCTTCTCTATACACAATGATCAGCTAGTGTATATTGGAGTGCATCCTCCATCACTGCTATACATATTCAGAGAGAGGTGAACCAACTGGGGTGGCTCTTTTTCCTCCCACTCTCCACAAGAGGAAAAATGCTACCGCTTCTTGTGCTTGATTTAAATGAGATCAAAGGCATTTTTGTAGAAAAAAATTCCATTGCTGTTCAAGATGTTGTTTGCTTGCTGATAAAGGAATTCAGATATTTACCTGAAGATAAAGAGGAAGATTTTCCCGAATGGCAGACAGCATAACGGCAGGCAGCTCTTTGTCTTGCTGAAACACGACAAGTGGCAATAGCAAGCTATCTATGATGCGGAACAAAAGCTGTTGTGCTTTGGAAGTTGCCAGTATTGGTGCCCAGAACTTTACAAGGCCTCCTATTGAAGAACAGTCAAGAAACCCAAAAAAGTAAATTACAAGCAGGCAAAAATAATTCCAAACAGGCAATCTGTTGTTACATTATCCATGGGTAACTATAGCAACCCAGTTGTCTCATTTTCAAGTACAGTCCACCCTGCTTAGTGAACCTGGATACAATGAAAGTCCATTTACAGTACAGCAATACGGAAGTCCCAAATTGTTTCAATGCATAACAACATACAAATTGTAATTTCAATTACAGTGAAGTTGTTTTGCAAAAGGAATGGCTACAACATAAAAGGGGGACATCTTATTATACCTCTGCTATAAGCGTTCCACTATTTAACTACTGTATTTGGCATATTTGTACACTACATCTGCCTCCCCCACACATGCCATAATATGGGTTCTCAAACTTTTTCAGTGTGAATCACATCTTCAACAGACAGATTGCCTTTAGCTTCCATTCAAAACTGCATAACAGTCCTATGGCAATAAGAACATTGTTTACATGAAAGAGCAATATTAGGAAAATATTTTATATATATTTTAACTCCTTTTAATGCAATTTACCAGCTGAAAACAAGGAGAAGCTAGGTCCATAGAACCAGGTGCCTCTTTATAGACTGCTGGTGATCTATAATTTGAAAACTTCCATGCTATATAAGAGCACTTCTTACCTCTTTTCAACACCTTTGTGTACTGATTTGCACAGTTCCCGGTCCTTAGTTTACTGACTGTAAAAGGGTGTTAATGTAAAAATACCTTGACATCCAGGAACAGCTTCATTAAAGCTGAAGTGCAGTTTTTATTGAGGAAATGGCTGCATACTCAGCAGCATTTTATTACTCAAAGTACAGTGCAACTAATATAAACAGTCTAATAAAACAGATTCTTGCCCATACAAAGTAGTTCTCATCAACTGAGCACAATTTGAGTGTATATCCAATTATAAACAAGAAAAGGTTTCCTACGTCACAAAATATGGGGGCATCCCAAGGAAATATGTTCAAGATTGAATAAGTAACGGAAGAGATCAAAAATAGGCTTTTACAAGACGTTATTAATGTACAGAAGTTAACCCATTACCATCTCTAAAACCAACGAACAACAACATTCATCTTGTGGAGTGAAAGAAAACACAGTGATCAATCATAATGAAACACAGTGATCACTTAGCAATATTTCTAATAATGCTGTCCATGCCCAGTTTTCTTCCAACTACCATACACAAATATTTCGAAGAAGCATAATCACTCTGACCCAGAGTTCTATGCCCATTATCAGTGACACTATGTATTTGGTGGCATATGGCAATGCAGTTTAGAGACACGTATGACGCCCATACTTGAGAGGCTTCCAGATTTATCTGGAAAGCATCTTACTGTGTGACTGCAGTTTTACAAGCTCACAGCAGGTGAAGAAATGTCTGAGATTACCTTAACTGACAGAACAAAACCATAATTCCCATTTCACTCACTACTTTTTTACTAAAGGAAAAGGACAATTTCTTGTATCGAGTGGTACAATTTCAGATTCTGATAATATCACCCTTTCCTATGGGCAAGCAAAGAGAGGGAAAAAATACCCTTTAGTCACTTTATAATATAAAAATGGTTCTGGCATCTGGATACTTAACACAGCTCATTTGATTGATAGCTTATGTACCAGAATATACAGATCTAGGAATCAGAAAATAAAAACATTTACCCATCAATAATTCTGTTAAATCAGATATACATTCGGCATTCTACTCAAATGTTAGTTTTGCTTACTTCAGTAAACAATTCCTGTTTTAAAGATGGTGCTTTCACTACACATATACATGTGCACACAACCCTCTTTATCTTTTATTTAAAGGTAGGCAGGCCTTGGGTCAGATTCTGGCACTTTATTTATAGGTAGTACCACTTTATTCTTTGAGCAGTCCCATTGGATTTAATGGCAATACTCAAGGAGTAAGGAACTATTCAGTATGGGTAAGGCTCCCAGAATATGGCATTTAATAATGTGCACACAGGATCGAAGAGAAGAGTGCCGAAGTAATGCTCATTTAATCGATAATTTACATAGTCAGACGCACTACCATAGCATTATAGCAAAGATACTGCAGACTAATAAAAATCCCATTCTGTTGCCATTTTTCCTTGTTTTGTTCCAGTAAAGATTTTCAGTGAACAAAAATATTAAAACCTCATGATTTCAAATGAAAGCTAAACTTTGTTGTATTCACAGCATAACTACAGAGGAAGGATTATTTTTTGGAGGAGAGAAAATGTTGTTGTTTCAGAGGATCAAGATAAAAGGGTGAGAAAGATAAAAAAGAAAATTAGGAATTTTGCTTTTTAGTAGTTTTCTGATATTTAATCTTTTAAACATCAGGAAAATAGATTATTAAAAAGTCCACACAAAAAGTTGTTCATTGGTGCTGTGTTGAGTCACAATATTTTACTCATTCCATGCACAAAACTATTTCTTGTGCTACTGAATTATGAAACAAGATGATGTACAGTTGCAAAATAATTACCTATAATCGAGTAAGTGAGCTGCAGGCCTTCAGCAGGTCCTTTCTTCTGCAAATAAGGTTTTACATATTTTACCACGTCACCTAGATAGTCTAAAGTCTTTGTTACCATGGCAGATTTCTCAGCTACAGTCTGAAGGCCGCTGTAAGTTACACCAACAGCCTGAGAACACAAAGAAAGTTAAATAGATCAGACTCTGTTGGATTTTGTTTGTTTTTATTAAGTACTGTGCAGAAGCTTGGCTAAATACTTAAAAAAAAAAAAAAAGACACATTCAAGTTTTGGTTTTACATTGCACATTGTAACTGTCCTGTTTATAAGAGGTACAGTACCTTAATGAATTGGACAAGAGCATTCTTAGGGTCTTGCTTGAAGATTGACTCATCAAAATGTGCCTTTGAGAAGATGTTTTCTATTTCTGAGAGTTTAAAAACCAACCTCGTCATTTCAGTCAGCTGCTCCATATAAACTTTCCCTGTTTGTTATAAAGGAATATAACTGAGAACGCAGTATACTTTGCTAGTCAGTTCCACCTATGGTTGAGTTTTCTATTTATCTGTTAACAAAATCATGAAGCAAAACACAATTCAAAGTCTTTAAAATATGAAGATTCCATAAGTTAAGGTTTCTTACTAGACAAAGGGCTTGTTTCTAAACTAGGCAAGTATCCAACACTGGGTGAGAGTAATGAGTATTAGGAGTAATCCAAGCCCTTCACTCTACCGTTAGCCTTCCAGAATATACATGAATTACAATTTACAGAATATACACGAACAATATATTTTAGAAGATTTGCCCTATTGATAATTAGAAGTGCAGTATTCTAAATAAGTCTGAATAAATATCATTCAGTACATAAGGATGAAGCAGCCAAGAAAGCAAAATATCCAATCTAAAATGGGAAAGAATTATTCATAATTGGATGTTTTTCTTTTTACGGAGTTCACAGCATGATTCCTGGTTATTTACTTCAGATTTTCACTTTTTTAGAGCAGTTCTTCATGGGGGAAAAAATAGCTCGTCTCCTTGGGAGCAAGTTTTTGTTCTTTGCTTCCAAGGAAACAGCTCTTTTATCTTTGTTTGTGATAAATTTGTCATATATAGAACAGGCAAAACATCAAGAAATAGCACAAGCCGTGTAAAGAAGCACATTTTGTAATAAGGTAAAAGTAAAGAAATACAAACAAAAATACATTTTGTAATTAGTTGAAAATATATGCCATTTTTGCTATATAGAATCGCTACAGCAATTCAAACACTAGGGAAACGTGAACACTTACCAACTGTTCGCTCAACATTTGTCCTGGTCACTGTACCAGTAGGCTGATCAATGTACATTTGTAAAATGCATCGAAACCAAGAACGTACTGACAAGGCTTCATAGGATGTATGTCCCATACCAGAAAAAGCTTCAGACAATGTGCTGCACAGATACAGTGGTGGGGGGAAAGGAAATAAGTAAAGAGCTGGAAAAAAGCCTAATTTTACTTTAGTTTTATAGAGAACGTTTTTAGCAACCCTATTTATAACTGTATACAAACATAACACAAAGAGAGGGCCAAACTTGGCATTCCTTTAAATACATGCAACCTACAGAATTTTGCCCAGAGTTTACAGATGCCCAGATACAGGTGATCTGCTATATTCACTAGTGCCATATGTGGCAATATAATTTACAGGTCAGATGTAAGACACAAAACTGATGTATAGAAAATCTGCACAGTTTGTTATTTTTCAATCCAGCAACGGGAGTCTCTCTCTACTTGGAAGAGAGGTGATTTGTTTCGACAAAAAAGATTGTGACCAATCAAAAATAGTTAAGGAGAAAAACCTCACTAAGGCAATCTAGAGATGGCACAAACGACTGTGATGTGACTGTAGAGGAGGATAGTTCCTTTTATACTCCCTTCTTAAACACAAAGAGGGCCAGATTCTCCCCTAGCTTACACCACAGCAAATTAGGACTAATTACATCAGAGCCATTGCAGCTATACTTGTGTACAAAACCGTGTAAGAGAGAAGAAAAATCAAGTGCACAAGTCCATGGCAGCACACTTCCCAGATATTTCCAGCAGCCAAGTCCCACATAGACCCCCCAACATCATTTGAAAATATTCTGTCAGACCAAACATAATTTCAACACTGAATATATATGTTAAGTATTATGAAATTGGCACCATTTTATAATATTTAAATGTGTGATGCAATTTATACTCCGGGGGGAATTCTGCACCAAAAAAATTAAAAATTCTGCGCCAAAAAGTTAAAAATTCTGCACACAATATTTTAAAATTCTACAAAATTCTGAAAATTTTATTTGTCAAGATAACTACATAATCACACCAGTTTCAATTATTTTGGTAATTTATTTCAAAATACCTGTCAGCAAGTATGTCTGTAACAATACAGACACACAAAAATTCCCCCAGGACTAGAGAGTTAAAGAAACCCCTATGACAACCCAGTTCCTGTTTCTCTGCCCCTTCCTGCCCCCCAGAGCCCAGCCATATCCCCCAGCCCAGACATCAGCCCCCTCGCTCCCAGAAGCCAGCCGTGCCCCCCCCAGCCCAGACACCCATCCCCCTACCACCCATGGATCCAGAAGGAGAAACAGCCTGTTGCTGGGTCCCAGCCAGGCTTGTGTAGTTTCCTGCACACCTCTGTCTCCTTCCCGCAGAGCGTGCAAGGAACTGCAGCTGCTAGGAACTCTCTACTGCCCTCCCGCCGCAGTGTCATCTATGTGTGAGCTGGGTCCAGCGCCCCTAGTGGCAGCCAGCAGCACTGCAGCCCATTTCTGTGGGGGGAAATGAAATTATGTGCAAAAAACATTAATTTCTGCAAAATTCTGCATTGCTCACTCGTGCAGATTTCCCCCAGGAGTACCTGTTGTGGAGGCAGACAGAGGGGGCATTGTGGCAACTCTCTTGGCGGATGAAGCAGATTCATCTGACTCCTAATGAGCGGGTATCATGCCAGGTAGGTGTTGGGTGAGTGCCTGGCTGACCGACTTTGCCAAGGAGCTCAATCACACTAGTTGGTGCTGCGATGCCCTCCTCTGATGTTCCACAGCCTCACGGACTTTTCTGATATATCTAATGAGTGCCTGCTGCTCTTCTGCCCAAGCAGCATGTGCCTGTGTAACTGTACTTAATTGCAGTAGGAACGCCTGGCTGCAGGGGAAAACATCTCCTCTACATATTACAATTGCACTGGGGAGGAGATTAGACAAACACCTGTCAGGAATGGTCTAGATAATACTTAGTCCTGCCATGAGTGCAGGCGACTGGACTAGATGACCTCTCAAGGTCCCTTCCAGTTCAATGATTCATTGAGTTGTGTATACATGAATTTATCACAGTTACTCTTATCCTGTCCCTCTTCTCCCTTCTTCAACCTACTGTTGTGAAACCCACATAATACTGTCTTAAAATTGTATCGTTAACTCTCTGGAACAAGAGTGCCTACTACAGCCCCAATCTTGCAAAGACATGCTTAACTTCATGCATTGTGAGAAGCCCAATTTAAATCAATGAGTTTAAAGTTAGGCAAGTGTCTAAGTACCTTGCTGATCTTGACTGATAGGTTGCTCAGGTGTCCATAATTTGTGCGCAGAACCTTTATAATTGGTGATAAAGCATCATGTAGAAAGAACCCAGTTTTGATCTCAGAGACCAGGCTGAGTTTGCCGGGATGATAGAAAAAAAAATCATCTTTTTGCTTGTAAATTTAGCTCATTTGATGTAAAAATCATTAACAGACCATAACCATGAAGCGTCAGGTTGCCAATGCTTAGATCAGGGATCGGCAACCTTTGGCACACGGCCCACTAGGGTAAGCACCCTGGTGGGCGGGGCCGGTTTGTTTACCTGCCACGTCCACAGGTTCGGTCGATCGCAGCTCCCACTGGCCGCGGCTCGCCGCTCCAGGCCAATGGGGGCTACGGGAAGCGGCGCGGGCCGGGGTATGTGCTGGCTGCCGCTTCCTGCAGCCTCCATTGGCCTGGAGCGGTGAACCGCGGCCAGTGGGAGCTGCGATCGGCCGAACCTGTGGATGCGGCGGGTAAACAAACCGACCCAGCCTGCCAGGGTGCTTACCCCTGGCATGCCGCGTGCCAAAGGTTGCCAATCCCTGGCTTAGATACTTCGGTGACTTGTGCTATAAAATTGTCTAAAGTAAACAAACATATGAAGCATATGATCAAAAATTCTGCCTTGTTTATCTATATAAATTAAAGGGTTGATATGTTAAGAATATCGATTCCTACCAAACAAAGGCCCTATCTTTGGTACTTATCACTCCCATCTCCCTTGTATCTGAGCACCTTGCAACGTACCTCTGCGGAAAGTACTATTATCCCCATTTGACAGGGAGGGAACCTAGGCATAGAGAGACTAGCTGACTTATACAAAGTCACAGGAAAGCAAAGCAGGGAATTGATCCTGGGTCTAAGTCCCAGGCAGCACTCTAACCACTGGACCATCCTTCTCCTCTCTCTTTGAACACTGCCTGTCTGCCATAAGCACTGCATGCCACATAAGCAGCCAAATTTGCTCCTTGTCTCTGCCAGCAAGATTTTGCAACACTTCTAGCTGTTCCAGTCCTCATATCTACTCTGACTGAGATTTACTCCCCTCTTATTTTGAAGCACAACAGAATCATAACCTTGGTTTACTTTGGATAATAACTAACATGTGGTTTAATTTCTTCACCTCCAATGCTAAATACAGCCCAGAGCAGAGAGTGAAAGAGAGACGCCCCTCCCCCCTCAGAATGAAGGCTCTGATTCAGTGAATGTTTATGTACATGCTTAACTTTATGCAGACCCATTTAAGTCAATGGAACTACTCACACCCATACATTTAAGCATGTTCATGTTTGTAGGATTGGGGCAAAAATCTGTTAAATAAATCTTAGGATTCTACTCAACGTGCTCATTCTTACAGTCTCAGACACTAGTATTGTAAGAAAACCAGTATGAGGTTGCCAGATGAAAACGTACACAAGTCCAATTTTATTATTTTGGATATTATTGATACTATATTGCACCCCTCCCTAAATGTTTTTGTTATAATAGAAACCTAAATATTTAATTATTTCTCTTGAATGTAATATTAAGCACCTATCGTAAGATCTCTGTTGCAATATCATAAAAAGTCCAGAGGAATATTAAGACTCAAGCTTAAAACCTGTAAGCATGAATGAAAGGGGATAAACAGATGTTGGAATTACCAAGTCATAACATTCAACATACTAAAATTCAACTATGGGTGCTACTGCTTTACCTTTTAAGCAGTAGGGATGGTAACAATAGTAGAAGAGGAGGAATAGTCAATATGCAACTAAATAATAAAGTACAATACTGCGTAGGTCAAGGCATTTCATTTAGCTGCAGTGTAATGGACTTCAGAAGAGTATTGATACAGAGTTATTGTCCAGATCCCAGTTTTCCAATACCAATTAGCAACAACACTTTTTCCATTTGGAAAAAAAAGTGACTTGCTGCATGAAAGAAAAATTAACTTTGCAATTTAAATGTCTACCTGTCAACTTTCATTATCCAAAGCCATAAGAAAAAAGCTTTAGAAAATAAAGGAGGACAAAACTATAATAAATTCAAGGAATCTAGAACTTAGAGAATTGCAAAAAGTCTATAACAAAGAAACTGGATCACTTGAAGGGAGGCACTACGTTTTCCTTTAGACCGATGAGCGAATGAGGGGACTTTGTATGCTAGAAAGGATCCGAAAGAACAAGAAGTTTAAATTGTTCACCTGTTTTGTATTAGATGACTGAGATATCTTGATACCAGCTGGGGACACACCATATCATCCCATCCAAACAATTGCATCATTGCTAAAACAGGCTGTGGCTGGAGATCTGATGGAGCTGTACAGGGCATGTCCAAAGCTAACAGAGTAAAACCTGATTTTCAAAAGAGAAAAGGGAGGGGCAGAGTGTTAAGTTTCTCCAAATATTTAAAATATATTCCTGTTCTACTAACAAACAGAGTCTGCTATTAGTTATTATTTAATATATATGATTCTGTCACTCCCACAGGCCACAATCATGACTGGGAACCCATCATGCTAGACACCGTTTAAAACGCATATGAAGATGCAGTCCCTATCCTGAGGAGCTTACAATCCATGACAACACACAAGATGCAAAATTTAGCAGACTGATACAATCAAATACACACCGTTTAAAAATACATTCCCCCTCCCTTCATGCACGAGTACATTTTTTGTCCTATAACCATTTTTAAAACACTTTCTTCCTCCAGGAATGAATTTTGGAGGATTAAACTATCTTTCGAAAGGTATGGGATCTGCAGAATTGTGTTTCTTGCTATGTTTAGAATAAACTTTTGTAAATGTAAGTTCCGGGGGGGGGGAGGGGGGAGAAGAGTGTAAATACAGTGCTAATGACAAAGTTACTTTTGAACTGAACAATCCCACGTAGGCCAACACAACATCTTCAGATCTAGAAAACTGTAAGATGAATACCTGCCACAGAATTTTTTTTTAGAGACACAAAGTGGGTGAGGTAATATCTTTTATTGGACCAACTGCTGTTGGTAAGAGAGAGAAGCTTTCGCGCTACAATTTAGATGTCACAATTTTTCTCTCACCAGCAGCAGTTGGTCCAATAAACGATATTACCTCACCCATCTTGTCTCTCTAATATCCTGGAACCGACACAGCTATAACAACACTACATACAGAATTTTTTAATGAGACATAACCATACTCTTTAAATTGGTGGGCCACCATGGAACCTACATCCAACACTAACAATAAAAAAATTATTCTCAGAGCTCATTCTTTATGCCGTGGATAACAAATACATTTCAAGGCAGGCAGGGGACATATCGTGGAATGCTGATATGTTATTAGACTAAATGAAATCGGCAACAGGAAAGGAGGTTTGGAAGACTGATCTTTATTTTTTGATAAAATGTAAGATGCTCACCAGCTCCCAGCTTCCCAGAAACCAGCATATTAATAAATTAACAGTATACTTTGAACTACATGTATCCAGAAGCTGATTTTTGACTAGCTGAAGTACAGAATAAGTCAATTCTCAGAAACAATACAAATGTAGCTATTTGAATTAATGGAACAGGGCTAGGTCTGTGGTCTTACTACAAGTCCCCAGTAAGGGTCAGTGCGTAGTTTTGCCACCCCAGAAGCAGGCTATGGACCTTTTGTAAACTACAGTAACAATGTGGTGCCTAGTTCACCCCTTACCCCACGGAAGGAAGTAATCATGCCAACCCTATATACTTAGCACAGATTACTTTCCCCACCATGGTGGTTCAGCAGTGTTGGCCAGTGCTGGGGGTAAAAGTTGGGAAACTGAGTCACAAGTCCACCCAATTTAGGCTTAATCAATTTTTGGTTTTATTTATACCATTTCAGAAAGGAATATCACTAAGGGTATGTCTACACTATGAAATTAGGTAGATTTAATAGAGATCGATTTTATACAGTTGCATTAAGTCGGCGGCGTGCATCCACAGTACCGAGGCTAGCGTCGCTTTCGGAGCGTTGTACTGTGGGTAGCTATCCCACAGTTCCCGCAGTCCCTGCTGCCCATTGGAATTCTGGGTTGAGCTCCCAATGCCTGATGGGGCAAAAACATTGTCGCGGGTGGTTTTGGGAACATGTTATCAGGCCCCCCTCCCTCGCTCCCTCCGTGAAAGCGACGGCAAACAATCGTTTCTCAACTTTTTTCCTGGGTTACCCGTGCAGACGACAAACCACGGCAAGCATGGAGCCCTCTCAGCTCACCGTACGTCTCCTGGGTGCTGCTGGCAGATGAGGTACTGCATTGCTACACAGCAGCAGCTCCTTGCCTTCGCGGCAGCAGACGGTGCAGTACGACTGCTGTCGTCGTCGTCTCCTGGATGCTCCTGGCTGACCTCGGTGAGGTCGGTCAGGGGCGCCTGAACATAAATGGGAGTGACTCCAGGTCATTCTCTTCTTTAAGTTTCATCTCATGGAGATTCAGTCCTGCCTGGAATATCATACGAGCTGGAGGCTTCTGCCTTAGGCTGCTCTCCTAGCCGGCAGCACCACGTGTTCACACCTACCCCAGCCTACCCTTGCTCCCATGGCTCATGAAGCCTGGAAAGTAGTAATGAGAAGTTCAACTATAGGCTGAGCAAGTGCAGAATGGTGGTAGAATGTGCATTTGGACGTTTAAAAACGCACTGGCGCAGTTTACTGTCTCGGTTAGACCTCAGCGAAACCAATATTCCCATTGTTATTACTGCTTCCTGTGTGCTCCACAGTGTCTGTGAGAGTAAGGCGGAGACGTTTATGGTGAGGTGGGAGATTGAGGCAAATCGCCTGGCCACTGATTACGCGCAGCCAGACACCAGGGCGCGCTGTGCATCAGAGAAGCTTTGAAAACAAGTTTCATGACTGGCCAGGCTACGGTGTGAAAGTTCTGTTTGTTTCTGCCTTGATGAAAACCCGCCCCCTTGGTTCACTCTACTTCCCTGTAAGCCAACTGCCCTCCCCTCCCACCTTTGATCACCACTTGCAGAGGCAATAAAGTCATTGTTGTTTCAAATTAATACATTATTTATTAATTCATCACACAAATGGGGGGATAAATGCCAAGGTAGCCCGGGAGGGGTGGGGAAGGAGGGAAGCACCGGGTGTGGTGGTGAAGGAGGGGAGAAGGGAAGGACAAGGCCACACTGCACTTCAAAACTTATTGAATGCCAACTTTCTGTTGCTTGGGCAGTCCTCTGTGGTGGAGTGGAGTTCTGATAGCACAGATACCTCTCACCATACAGCGATCAGATCCAGTACCTTCCGTTTGGTCCATGCTGGAGCTCTTTTGCGATTCTGGGACTCCATGGTCATCTCTGCTGATGAGATCTGCACAGTCACCTCTGAGGTCGCCATGCTGGCCAAACAGGAAATGATATTCAAAAGTTTGCGGGGCTTTTCCTGTCTACCTGGCCAGTGCATCTGAGTTGAGAGTGCTGTCCAGAACAGTCACAATGGAGCACTCTGGGATAGCTCCTGGAGGCCAATACCATCGAATTGCGACCACACTACCCCAAATTCGACCCAGCAAGGTCAATTTCAGCACTAATCCGCTCGTCAGGGAGTACAGAAATCGATTTTAAGAGTCTTTTAAATCGACAAAAATGGCTTCGTCGTGTGGACGGGTGCAGGGTTAAATCGATCTAACGTTGCTAAATACGACCTAAACGCATAGTGTAGACCAGGGCTCAGTGTCTGGACATACATTTATGCCATCCAGATAACAACAGATGAGACAGAGTTGGTAAATAGGCTCAAGTTGCCACATTCTGGAGCACTGGGAGGTTCTTCCACCTTCCATGATAGTTTCACCTACTCTGATCCCTTGGTGTGGTCCTTCATCCCTTTTCTTCAGTTTCTGGTCCAGTGTGGGTCCATGTTCGCTTAATCTTTTATACATTTCTACACTACAGAGTCCTTAATCTTTATCCAATTGACTTTAAGCACATGAACCTTATGGATTTTAGGCAACCGAGTACATTACGCATGTGCAAGCTTCAGTTACCAAACTTCGGTATTTTTCCTGCTGGTTTTGCAGTTTCTGGGTGATGTTGTTTTGTGTCATCTTGCCCTGTGTCTTTTTTGTTTCTGTGTTTTTATTTATCATTACTTGTTTGTGTATCTACTACTTACAACTCCCAATATAACAACACGTTGATTCTGTTCTGCTGGCAATAACATTTTAAGCAGATTAGAAATTCTATGTAAAAGAAAAATTGGCAAAACTACACTCATGCCACCAAAACCTTGGCTTAAGAGATACCTCATCTGTACTCATTCACTGCACATAATTACAAGTCATTAAAATATAGCTATCAAAGCTCTTAATCTTACCATTAACAATTCTTCATTTTATATTTCAATGTTACAAGTCAGTATATGTTATTCTGTGCTACCTTTAATCTATTAGACAGAGAGGGGAGATACAGAAAACATTAGGATTCTTTAATGTCCACATATCTTCATTCAAAGCTCAGATTTATTTGTAAATCGTTACAAAGCAACTTCATTAGAAATGTTCCTGCGAATGCATCCTGAGGGGTGATTCCATTTTAGGGGCCTTGATATTTAGTTGTTTTAATGGTTTTCCAACACCAGTATACTCAGAGAGAGGGGAAGGGGGCAGCATGGTTAAAGCTGCCACTTCCTGTCCCTGGATGTCCACTCCCCACTCACTTGAATAGGAGGGGGAGTAGCAGTGCTGTGGAGGCTGCTTGCTTGCCCAGGTGTTGCAACCTTCAATGCAAGTAGCCCGCGCAGTGGGGTAAGGAGTTGCATTCTTCCACATTGCTCCCCTGTATCAGTGCATAACACAAGTTACAATTATATCTACAGCACTCTAAGCAGATTTCTAATAGAGGTTGGTTCTCTCACTATTTCATTGTATGAAGAAGAAGAAAATAGAAGGAGAATGGATTTTGCTTTGGTTTTGTATTGCCATTTTCTATAAATGCCTCAGTGGTGAGAGACCATTATCCTTTCACAATAGTCTCTCTCATTACCATTCTCTCTCAACTATGACAGCACTGCTCCAGTTCAAGGGTCTCTTAGCATTTCCGTTACTGACCTAGTCCTTGAAGCTTATAAATGTAGTTCTTAATTCACATGAAGGTAGAAAAAAAAAAAAAAAGAACTCCATTTCAATCTGGACTTTTTAGATTCAGGACATCATCATAGCTAGAGATCAGCCCCCTCAAACTGAAACGTAGTATTATATTAAAATTTCAGCAAAAATAATACTGCATCTAAATGCAGTGAGCCAGATCCTCAGCTGCCACAAATCAGTGTAGCTCCAGGGAAGCCAAGGATCTGATCCAGCATTCTTACTATTCACTGATACACTATCCATCTGTCTGGATTCGCAGTGGTATTTGCAAGATAAAATTCTAGCAACCCAACAGCTTCCAATACAAAATGACCAGTCAGAACAGTCCAATGTAATGTCAGAATGTATCTGAAAGGAAAAATGCTACAAAAAGTGATAATGAAATGTACCTTTTAAAAAATATCTACATAGATGTCAAAACATGATATCAAAATGTGAATTATGTTAAACCATTAGCAATACTGAAAAAGACAAGATGAGAACAAACTTTCATGTAAAGCAATAGAATAGATTTTAGATATAATGTAATGAACCATAAATCATTATCCTTATTTAGATTACAGCAAACATTACAAATATAATTTAAGCTGTCAATGATGCCAAAAATCAAAGAGTCCTATAGATTCAAAGCACTCCAGTATTATAGATCTGCATCCTATCGACAGAGACAGCAGTTCATTTTTTTGTTGTTGTCAAAATATTTACCACCATTATCACAGAGCTTCGTCTTTACATTTAGGTAGATTTGAGCTACTACACATAAGCAGGAATATGCCAAAACCTTAAAATGAATAAAAGTTTGCATCCAGGGAAATAGCAAAGGAGGCAATAGAAAAAAGGAGCGTCAGTGCTGACCTGCAGCTGTATCTGCAAGCTGTGGAGGAGGCAGTGTCTGTGACATCCTTTGGCTCTTCAAGAAGGGGAAAAAATTTCTCCAGAGAGCACTGGCAACAGCAAGGTGGTGCTCTTTAGCCACTAATGGAAGTTGTGTGTTTGGGCCCGTTTTCCCTAGCTGAGGTCCCTGGATCATACGTTTGTGCACACTCCTAGGGAGAAACAAAAACAACATTAACATGCAATAAATGAAAAAACAGATTTTTTCACAGTTTCTTTAAACTGTATAGTCTGAGAACTGAAGGATCATTTTGTATAATTAAAACCTTTATGCAAGACATTATGCATACTAGTTATTTGATGGATGAATGATGGCATATTAAGTACCATAAAGTTAATGTTAATTACTAATGTCAACCATTAATTATATGCTTTTTAATATGTCAGATCAAAATGAGAAATAGGCCGCTTTAAAATGAACGTTTGCATTTTGCAACTGTTGGCAAGACAAGTGAGTCTTGCTTACAATCCATAGCCAGGCACTTTATTTTTTTAAATTGTCTGTAACAGTGTAAGTGCTGGGTCTGTACAGAAAAAGAGTAAATAATGAAAAATGCCTTTTCTTAATTGCAAGACTTAGTATTAAAGTTTAGTTTTTAATTTGGGAAACCTCAGTAGATGCATGGTTGGATAAGAGCAAAGATTCATGTTTTCCTGATGCATTGTAGACAATTAGGTTTGACAGCGGTGCCCACAGCTTTGTTAGTACAGTAAGGACAAAAGTTACAACTATCACACAACTCCCATCTCTTCGTGAGACAATGTGGCATAAATTCAATAATGCACTCAATTTTCTTTGATTCTTCTAGTACCATTCCTGCTACTTAATCTAATTTGGAAGTTGTGACTTTCTAGAGGTTTAATAGAGGTATGTCTGCAGGGAATCAATGTTCTCAGAGAAATGGTGGGGGGGGCAGCATTAATAAATTTGTCTGGTAGACTAGGATAGGAGGCATTACTGCAGTGGGCTGATCAACTAAATAACATGCTTATTAAAAACAATCTGCAGGAACACACTATCATTCCTGTTCCTATTTATCTTCTGGTCAACTCAATTGAGATTGTGCATTAAAGCACAGGCAGCATTATTACATTTGCTTTATTAAATTCTATAAACAGCACTGTAAAGTCAGAGTCAAGATATTTATAAGATAATAGCATAGAGTGAAGGCAGGGAGACTTGCTTTAACACTAATGTTTGTAGACTATAACATAAGAAAAAAAATTAGACAGTCACAGTAGCAAATGTTGCACAAAACTCCTCTCTCTGGCTTCCTAGGTTTTTATTCTATGCTCATCCTAAATATATATATATAAGTTCCCTACTGGGAAATGTGAAAGAATTATACAACTCATGACACTCATTAGGACATCTGGAATGGAATAATTTTAAATAAAGAGCAGACAGGCAGCAAGGCCTACTCTTAGTATGGTTGGTATTAGAAGTGTTTATCATTATAACAAATTAGTATCCAAAAATTCTCCCAAGCAGATAATTTTAAAACAAAGCATACTAGATATCAAAGGTAACAGATACCTTATGGCTATCCTCAGGCAGCTATTAGTTTCAATGGGATATACACAGGGAATTTAGTGAATTTTGATTGGTTACACTTAACACACATAATATAGGTTGTGTAATGTAGTATAAGGCATCAAATATTTTGTTGAGAGGGACATGGTCCACACATGAGTGGGAGCCAGAAATTCCTGAATTCTAAGCTCACCTCTAGCATTTAATCCCTCTGTTGCCTTAGACAAGTAACTTACTGAAGTTCACAAAGGGTATCTGATCCATGGTATTGGGGTGGTAATATTTATCTCCACTTTCAAAGGATGCTATGAAGGCTAATCAATGCTTGTAAAAAACCGCTTAGAAGATGAAAATTCTATTCAGTATAACAGTTGAGTAATCCATTTAAAGAAATAATCTCTAAGTTAACATGCATAAAAAGGTGCTTCTTTGGGATTTTCTCTGACACACACAACAGGTACAGCAACAACAGAAATACAAGTTAAAAAAACAAGTATTTAACAATTTGGGTTTATAACAATATGGCTGAGTTAACTCTGAGCAGAAAAAGGGCAAAGGGCTAACAGACTGAGTTAAAAAAATAAAAGAAATTAATGGCTCAAAAAATCTGAATGGTTCCATTTGTTTTAATAAAGGGAGGGAGAATTCCTTTTAGTACAGCAAATAAAATAACAAGGACCAAATTCTGTCCTTACTCACATCTGTACGAACCTACTGATTGGTCCAAAGTCCTTCTCTTCTCCTCCAAATTGCCTCCCCAAAGAAAGAGTGTTTGCATCTCCTTTAGCCATCTACGCCTAATGGAAGGATGTTCAGACTTCCAAAGTAAGGTAATATATCGCTGTGTCAGGAGAAGGGCAACATGCACAAATTTGTGTTTATGTTTATGTTTATTCGTAGTGACCTAAACAAACACTTGCAATGAGGTAAATGCTTAGAGTCAATGGGGCCTCAATATGTGCTAGCAGGGGTTCTCAAACTAGGGGTCGGGACCCCTCAGGGGGTCACAAGGTTATTACATGGGGGATGCAAGTTGTCAGCTTCCACCCCAAGCCCTGTTTTGCTTCCAGCATTTATAATGGTGTTAAATATATAAAAAAGTGTTTTTATGACGGGGGAGGAGAGGGTCGCACTCAGAGGCTTGCTATGTGAAAGGGGTCACCAGTACAAACGTTTGACAACCCCTGTGCTAGAGTCGAAGTTCAGTGAGACACCTACACCAATAAACAAACCAATTTATTGCAATAACAATATTGATAAACACAGCCACGCTTTTCATTTAGCAGTCTCGACAAATGTGCTCACTAGAAACCTGCTCCACTGCTGAGATCATATACGTTCTGTTTGCCATAGGTAAAACTGTCCTAATAGTTTCTGGAACCATTCGCCATCTCATTACAACAGTCAATAAAAGCTTGGGTTTTTCTTTTGTTTTTGTAATGAATTTTGTATTTTCGCTAAAACAAGGTGTTTTTCTGTTTACTAACCGACAAAATCTGGCTTTAAAAAAGCCAGGGACATTTGTTACTCCTGTTCGCAGCCTGGAGGTTGTGCTGGATAATCATATAGCAGCAGTGTTCAGGAACACTTTTTACTGTTTGTGCCTGGACAGGAGATTGCAGCCATTTCTTTCAGGTTTGGCCCTTGCCACCAGGATCTGTGTCTTTGTCCCCTCCAGACTAGATTACTGCAATGCACTCTAATTAGGGCTATACTTTGGATCAATCCAGAAATTTAAACAGGTGCAGAATGCCACAGATTGCCTATTAAATGGAGGTGCATGTCTCCAGTGCTCCATGATCTGCCCTGGCTGCATACTGGCTGAATGTAGTGTTTATTTTGATCTATAAAGGCTTGGGACCCTGCAACTTGAGAGGCTGCCTTGCTGTTTGGATGTGATCAGCAGAGACATTTGTGTTGTATCCCTCTTGATTTAAAAGAAATGGGACCAGAGGTAGAGCATTCTTTGTGAAAGGTCCTCAGCTCTGAAATAGGCTCCCTCCCGCAAGCCCCAGGCTTGAAATAGTCTAAATCAGTAAGAGGAATGAGATTTTTTTAGGAAGAAAAATAATAATTCACGTTCACAGGAATGCTAAGGAGACATTTAACAGCTGAGTAAAGGTGTATACAGCAGTTTTAAATGACCTAAAGTCAATACATCCTTACAAACAAATATTAAAACCAACCCTGACTTTACCTGGTTTTTACTGGGGAAGATCAAGGACCTGGACTAGGCATTGAGATATGTTAAAGGTAACAACCTGGTTAATCCTGTATTAGGGACATGCTGAGGAAGAAACAGAAGATCTGCCACCAAAACTAGCACTTTCCTCCAGGATCCATGTAGATACAAGGGAAACTAGGGAGCCCAACTGTATCTACACATGACTTGTGCCTCTGCATGGTATCTAGCCCTCTCTGCTCTTTCAGTACTGTATCACAGCCCTAGAAACCATGCTGACAGGGACCCAATTCCCCTCAAATAGAGAGGAGCATACCAGCATTGGAGGGGGGAAAAGGTGGTTTAGATATTGCTGACAAGGTCAGCATGAACATACAAACATCCCACAGGGCTGGAGAAAAGAAACCACCATTCTCTGTGGCTCCCCCATCACACAGTTCCTGCTTTGTGTGTGTGGGCAGCACAACCTACGTTCTGCACTCTCCAGCCAAGGCCTACTGCTGCGCTTACAGAAGCAGAGTGTACAATACATTCCGTAATCTGAATGAAATCCAGGAAATGTTGCTCAAAAACTGCCCAGTAATCTTTTTAGGTTGAGGGGTTTAAATAAATAAATAAATAAATAAATAAATAAATAAGGGCAGAACCAGCATCCTTGGACAAAACTAGAAAGACTGGGTTGAGGGACATCTGTATTTCTAAGGCAATAAATGTCCTCGATGCTTAGAATTTCAAATACTAATATCAGTTCTTTCAAAAAAAGCCAGAAGCAGTCAAATGAAACAAAGCATCACTACAGCAAGACTGACAGCTTTGTATGGGTAATAATAGAGGCCTTGTGTCCTATGAGGCACAGTAGGCCTAAATAATGAAGCACTCCCCCCTCTCCTGCTCCAAATCTTCTTCCCCTCAGTGCCCCCAGTACAGTATAATCACTACACTATCTCTTATTCAGTCGCTTTGATGGCAAATTCAATGTATTTTACATTGGTCCAAATCTTTGGTTTTCAATATCAGTATTGCCAAATAACTGCATCACAGAAGTTGTTGGAGGAAAGCTGAGATTTTATGACAGGAGTTGGGGGGGGGGGCAGTTTAGTCTTTTGATACCTGGACTCAGAAAACTGGGAGAGCTGGTTCTGAATTTTTGGCTCCTGGGTGAATTGAGTTTTGATTTGGGGGAAGAGGCTTTACACTGCCTCTTTTGGGCATGGGCAGAGGGGACTTCAAATCTGGAAGTGTGTGGGAAGGGCAGCTATTAGGTTTTCTCTGCACCCTGCCAGAAAATCTGCCACTACATCAACAATGGTGGAAAAGAGCATTACTCTGATGTTTCCGCTAAATGACCAGGAGTGAAATATTTGTCAAAGTTGGCATTATTTAAAGTAGCATCCTTGAGCATCAGTGTTAACAATCCATTGATATGGATGAGGCAA